AAACATCTAAGGACTCTCTGCTATGTGGTCAGAAAATGTCTGTTATCTTCAAAATCGGTTTTGACAGAATTTATCCGTTGTAGGTGCCACGACCCCGTCCAAGATTACATCTTGAAAATAAAATAGAAATAATTTGTCTGTATCAGCTATAATTAAAACGAGGCGAATGTGGCAGTGTCCATTAAAGACAGTATGGCACGCGCACTCAGATTTTATAAATGTACAACTTTCGATAATTATACAAATTGTTAAACTTTATGATGCACATATCTCTGATTCTTCAAGACATTTGACATTTTGGAATTTTGGTCTCCAGTTTGACTAATGATCGACAAGCGCGCCAGGAAAGGTTTGAAGTGTTATTAACAACGTTTTAACGTATCAGAGCCTTGTATCTTTTATCATTACAATCAAAACATTTGAATAAAAGACCTTGAAATAAATAAAATCTGTCCTTTGTGTTTTATTACAAAAAAATGGGAGTAAAATTAAACATTTGAGTATCAAATTGCGTCTTGACACATTTTGGCAATACTGTCATTTTCAATTTTCATGAAAATAATTCAACACCATTCGATTTTGCATGAAAACAAACAATAATATTCAGAGCTATGAATTTCCTATTCGATTTTTCATAATCATATAAACAACAAAAGGCTAGATCGTTTTCAATTACGAGATTCTTAATAAAACTAATCTCTTATTTAAACAGAGTATAATAAGGTCGGATTTCTCCTCATTGATTTCCCATAATGCATATTGCATTTACCTCCTTCCATTTGATTGTCAATTTCCGTCAATCAATTTTCATTAATTTATATTGATCTTGGAAGGCGGGATTGCAGTGAAAAAATACACATATATTTTTATACTTTGACGAGTTGTCTAAGACATTTAAGAAATTTGAAAAAAATGATATATTTTTAAACTAAATACACGGAAAAGCAAACATGTTTCTTTTGAAAACAGAGAACTGCAAGCGTTTCTTTGAACTATTTTTAAATTACTTCATACTTTTATTTTAGTGTGCTGATCTTGACGGCGATGTTGATGATAAATAAATAACAACAACCCTTGTTTTACCTTTTTCATATCGGCGCCTTTTAAAACTTACTCGGTATGTTGTTTGCTCATAGTTGAAGGCCGTACGGTGACCTATAGTTGTTAACGTTATTTGGTCTCTGATGGAGAGTTTTGTTTTAAATTTTCTTGTTGACGATTATAGATAATAAACTGTAAATGGCATTAAGACGAAGTAAAACATACGTGTAAGTTTTATTTTTTATTAAATAATTTAAAATATTTTGAAAAAAAAATTCTATAAATTTGCTAATGTTATCTTCACAGCTGATTTTATAAGATAGAGGGCGATGACAAGAAATGATGCGTTACTATCATACATTTCTACGTTACGTCTTTGTTACGTTAAATCTGTCATTAAGATAGAGATAATGAAAAGATGCGGGGTCAATGTCATTAATTTTCAATTTAAAAGAAATTAAGATAAAAGCTCTCGGTGTCTGAAAGAAAGCAGAAGTCAGTTCAAAATTTAAATTTTACTGATATAGTGAAATTTAAAGCTATATTTTATTTAGTTTTATCTATTTAGAAAATATGCATATTAAATAACATATGTATCAAATCAATACATTTAATCAGAATTACAAAAAAATATCCTACTTCTGAAGCCAATGTTATCTTGATTTCAATCAGAACATAGTATAATTCAATATCTACAATGTTTTTGTGTCAATAAAAGAGCACAGGGAAAAATGTGAAGAAAAAAATATTTGTTATTCTAAAATGTTAAAATATCGAGATATCAGATGAAACTTGGAAATTTGATGAAATTGTTATCAAAATGCTCAGTTTATCCAAAAATCTTTCAGTGTTATCAGAAATAAAATACACAACGGATTATGAACAACATGTATTAAATAAACTTATGCAAGACTTAAGACAACATTTTTAGAATGTCATTTTAGTACATTAAAGATATGACTTATGTTGAGGTTATCGCTGGTCGATAAAAAAATTAAATTAAATATCATGCATACAAAAATATGGTACAGTGCATGAGAGGTGTATGCCTTCTACACAACAACTACATTCCCAACTTTGTTAGCAAATTTTAAAATTCAAAATACATTTTTTCGTATTGTGTTTCAAACTTTTTTGTTCGAGTCATCCTCCATTTTGATAGGTAATGGAAAGGTTTTCACTTTTCGCGATATAGCCTTTTTTTGCACTGAAACAAGTATGACTTATGCTGAGGTTATCGCTGGTCGATAAAAAAATAATTAAATATCATGCATTCAAAATCTTGGTACAGTGCTTGAGAGGTATATTCTTTCTACACAACAACTACATTCCCAACTCTTAAAGAACTTTGTAGTAAATTTTAAAATTAAAAATATTTGTTTCGTATTGTATTTCAAACTTTTTTGTTCGAGTATTCCTCCATTTTGATAGGCAATGGAAAGGTTTTCACTTTTCGCGATATAGCTTTTTTTTGCGCCGAAATAAGTATACATCATTCATTCATCCAATCACATTTCATTTAAGCCCAAATCCTTTGCTACATAGAAATTTACTTTAATACCCCCATATCCTTATACTATCCCTTAGTGATCAATCTCTTACACAAAGAAGTGAATAATGCACGTTCATATAAATATTAAGGAGGTTAGGGGATTTTTTTACTTTTCCAATGTGTTATTTATATCGTGCTATTTTCAAACATGTTTTAAAAAGTTTAGGCCACCATGTTTCTTTTCAAGCCATTTAATTTGCAAAATTCTGATATCTTAAAAGGATTATACACGGAAAGGCACTATTACGTGACAGAATAGAAAAAAATAATGATATAATTTATAAATCTAAAAAAAAAGGGGTCACCGTACTCGTTTTCTTTCTTCTGAATGAAATGGGTATGCATTCATTTATTCTTTTATATAATTTAAATTATTTGAGTTATATCCCCTTAAAATGCAAAGTTTTTGGATATTTGTATCAATAAAAACATTTACTGGATTAAAAAAAAAAAGTTCTCATGATGAAATTATATGAATTTCCATATTAAAATGAAAAAGTGCAATAAATAAAAACTTTGCTTTTTCAGTAGAAATCTGGACCGATCATTTGCAATCCGACTTGGCAGAAGACACCCATACAACTTTAATAAAAGATGAATACTATTTGTATCTTTTCGGAGGAAAGTTAGTTCTATTTATAACAACAACAAAAAAACAGATATATATATAGGGACATTAAAAACGTATAAAATAAAAGTATAACAAGCTCAACGGCTAATCAAATTTTTCAGAAAAAAGCTAACAATTTCGAATACTGAAAACAAACAATTTTGCAATTAAAAACACCACTATAAACCGAGAAGAACACTGAGTGCTCCGGAAAGGAAAGAACACTGGTGCTCCGGAAAGGGAAGAACACTGGAGCTCCGGAAAGGAAAGAACACTGGTGCTCCGGAAAGGGAAGAACACTGGTGCTCCGGAAAGGAAAACGGTATTATAACTTATGAAAAGACTTAAATTGAGAATATGTGTGAAACTGATTTATGTGCTAATACGAGAAGAAACATTTCATAATTTCTAAAATGCACTGCCATAGATTTCCATTGGTAAGGGTTACGTTTAGAACGTTAGCATTCGATCTTGGTCTTCTTACTGTCGAGCAATGATCCATTGCAGGATCCAAGGCTAAGGTTTACCTGTGACATTACTTAGGACGGCTGCTGTCAGATTGCTATTTACCATGCTTTCTTTTATTAATATTATACAAATAACCCTGTCTTGATAGCTAAGACTCATGATTAATGAATTTATTTTCCAACTCTGACACTTCTTGAGAATTCTAAAACCATTGCCGATTTCAGTAGGTTATCATTCGTCACCTTCATCCCTCATCGCAGAATTGAGAGTTCCGAACGTTTATATCTGACACCTCATTACTCCTCAAGACATACGTAATTTACAGAAACCCAGAAATGCCTCATTTTACTTTTGTCGTATTCATCATTCAATAAAATTAATCAAATTCCCTGGACATTGCAAATACCTCTTATTATTCTCAACAAAAAATATCTTCAGAGATTCCAGTCGTGAATTTGTATATTGTTTAATATCGCCAGACAAAAAAAAATGTCTTCTTAATCCTTTTCCGGCCTTAATCTGATGTGTTATTGTTTAATTATTTCGCTTTAATGATATGGTCATGCAGAAATTCCAAGGGCATTATAAGAGAAAATTAAGCTTGTATATATACACCAGCATGTACAAACAAATCAACAAATACAATTACAAACAACAAACTGAAACCAAGCTCACGGTAAACCACTTTCCCCAACCTGCTTAAGGGAGCTACCATTTGATTTTTATAGGGGGGGGGGGGGCTAGGATGAAAAATTGTGTCCTGCATTTTTTTTTGAGTTGTAATCTCGGTCCTGCCTTTTTATTTTTCACTTTATTCGGTCCTGCATTTTTTTATTAGTTTATCCTGACTTTTTATACATAATTTGTTATCCTGCCTTTTTTTTGCCAAGTAGCTCATCCTGCCTTTTGTTTACTCAAATCTTCTGTCCTGCCCTTTTTTTTTTAATTTCATCCAATCCCCCCCCCCCCCCCCCCAATAAAAATCAAATGGTAGCTCCCTAAGCCAACTTTGGTCGATGTGATATTTGCTGAAAATTATACGATCAAGTACATAACACTAATATACCTTTTCTATTGTAACTAAGTCTGTATATAGACGTTTTTGCATAAAATGGACTTCGAAGGTATTTTCAAAGTATTCAATTGTAAATTTATTATTGAAAAAGTATATGACATCTTCTATATAGATGAATGGATTCAACATACATAGCTATATGTCAGATGGGAATTTCATACATGCATGAACTTTACTTAAAGTAGTTGAAACATAGTCAATTTGGAATTTGTTTCTGTCTGATAAACATGAAAGTGATAAAACAAGAGACTCACCCATTCCTGGAGGACATAGGTCGTTGTCTTGTAAGTTTTTTCTTTTCCTAGGGCGTCCTTTTTGCACAGTCCCAACACCATTGTAAAATGGCAAATGTCCATCTGTATGACAAGATAAATCGTCTGTTAAACTTTGAAAATACTCTCCTTGGAATAATAACTCGTAGTCATTTCGACAGTAAATAAGATTTTCCTTCATTCCAAATTGGTCTCCGGTTGAAAGTGCTTTGTGACAGGATGAACACGTGAAACAGTTGATGTGATAGACCAATTCCCGCGCTTTCATAACAAGTTCGTTTGCTGCAATACCCTGATGACATCGCGCACATCTTTTTACTCCAAAACGTCTGGAAAGATAATAAAATTAGGTTATATAAATCCTGCATTTATAGATATAAAGAACACATGACAATTAAATTGTGTTATATTTTGCAACAATGACACAAGGTCAGTTCGTATTTTAACTAACAAATATGTTTAAAATCCAATCTTTTCGGAGTACTAATATGCATTTAAATCATCTCTACAGAAAAAAGGAGGAAAGAAAAAAAACAAGGATTTATATGCTGTTTTAGGAATGGTGAACTGTTCTGATTCTGTTTATCCGGTGTTTTTTAAGCTGTTTTTGTTTTTTGCTGTCCCGAGTTTGTTTTTGTTTTGTCGGGGAGGGGATAAGTTATCCTCTGGAACTGTGTTCATGAACATCATGAAAGAGAAAATTTATTCACTCAAAACACACTATCACAGTCTATTGTTACAAAACAAAACACACATCCCTTAAATATATATTTACATTTTTGAACTGAGCATATACAAACAAGTGCGCCTTCGAAGCTGACCTCTTTTTGGGTCGAAATAGCGGAAAAGATATTTCTATCCTTGGCTATCTCAAAAGATAATCAAAGAATTGTTGGTATACTTGTAACTGGGGTGGGATGCAATTGTATCTTAGTGGATCCGGAAACCGAATAAACGCCCCTGAAAGAAAAGTTCAAATCGCTTTGTCATGATTCATTTTTAAATATCAGACCACCCATTACATCTAAAGAATTCTCATTCAATGGAGACTCAAAATTAAAAAAATGCAAAGAAATCATTGAGAATTTTACATAACAGTTATATTTTGACAATTATGTCACTTCAGTGGATACTTAAAATCTTTTTCTAAAATTTTTGAATTACATATTTATAGATTCTGATGCTTTAAGAAGTTTTTATGTTTTATTTGGAGATTTTGGATATTCGATTCAATGCTGTTTTGTTTATGATAATATTGTTTGTATTACATATTACTGTAGAATAACATCCGTCTGCTTTCAGTTACACACATAAATATTTGAAGCGAGCGATGGCGTTATAAAGAAAATACACACATTTTTCGTTATAGTTCAAGATAATGTTCATAAGCTTTAAGTTTGGTTAGTTCAAGATAATGTTCATAAGCTTTAAGTTTGGTTAGTTCAAGATAATGTTCATAAGCTTTAAGTTTGGTAACAGTCTCTTTTTTCGTATAATAAACGTGAGCGACTACTAAGACACCATCATGTTAGCGAATGATTAGCTAGGGAAGAACATACAAGCCAAACTTATCATGTTTGCAAACTAAGACTTATACAATGACACGAAACCTTCTTAAAAAAACTTGTGAAAATTATTTTGAACTAAAACACAAAAATCATATTTAAAGGAAATGAAGGATAAATAAAGGTGTATCATTTCAAAAATTAAAATTCCAATAAATTGATAGCTTGTAATGGATGTCGCACTAATATTTTTCTTTATTAAAACACGTATATTATTTATCACATGCGATACCGGGTGTTTTCAATTATGTTATAAATATTTTTACACTTCTTGCCATGTGGACTACTCGTAAAGACTTAATTAATAAATAAGCCGAAATGTTCAAACATTTATTGATTATCTGAATATTTTGCGTTGCAACTGACAACCTAGATTTGACCAATGCAAAGTTCTTAAGAGTTTAGCTGTATTTACTTCGAATTTTGACGGTGGGAGTACACTGGGCGGGTAACACTGCACATGTTTGCACTTAAACCTAATAAATACTTCAATGTTTACTTTGAATATAGTTTTTGTTGAGATATAAGTAAATTCTATACAGATCGTCCTTTTATTTTTTCAATTTGTACGATATTACATCTGGTAAACTTAATTTCAAACATCATAGTTGGTACAGACCCGTCATCTGTTCCGGGTTTGGCATAACATCTGTATTGTTCTTTCTCAGGTATGCCTTTATATTAATTTGATTAATGTTTAGTTAACTATAAAACTATGCTCATCATATTTCTGCAAATTTCAAATTCTTTGATCCTTGACCTCTTCTAACAGGAAGAATTTTGCTGAGTTCCGTTGGTCTTTAAACACCTGCAATTTTTTGACCACCTGTTTTTGCTTAATATTGAAAACATAATGTATAGATACTCTCAGATACTTGGCTTATGTACTTTTAAATCGAGAAAGATATTTTTTGGTTTCTCGGACAAGAATAGAAAATAATAAAATTACACTGATTATCGAAGGTAAATACACGGATTATCGAAGGTGAAATACACGGATTATCGAAGGTAAAATACACTTGATCATCGAAGGTAAAATACATTGACTAACGAAGGTGAAATACACGGATTATCGAAGGTAAAATACACTGATTATCGAAGGAAAAATACTGACAATCGAAGGTCATTTCAAAGTTAATCGGACAAAGGCACTTAACAAAAAAAACAGCAATGGAAAAACAAATTGATAATGATTATCACATTCTGAACTTGGTAAACATGTTATTTTCAAAGGAAAGAGACAAACTGGATATTCTAGATACCAGTCCTTTTTTGTTTTAATGTGCTGTTAGGTTGCTGTCTAATCGACGGTTTCTTCGCAAATATTTTCACAGACATATGATCTAGATCTGTCCTACATTTTTGACGAAAAAAATTTTAGTAAAAAAATCGGATCACCATATTCTGTGTTCTATAGCATTTAAGGTTTTGTGTTTTAAACTTTTGATGTTTCTTTTACTATAGTTGTTCTTTTGACTACTTCTTCATCTTTGCGAAAGAAGTAAACGACTTGACGTTTTCTTCCAATATCAAAATGACTAAGTCTAAAATCCATTATTTTCATTTAAAATTAAATCTTTCTTGCCATGAAACTGTGACAAATTCTCAACTAAAGAGTTACAAAAGAATATCCTTTCGAGCTGACTCGTATAAGTTGGTTATGCAGTTATGTATATTAGGTATTTCGTAACCAATCGAATATCGTTTTCTTACGAACGAAGTTCAAGGATCAAAGTTCATTTGGTTCAATTATATCTGCTCGTTTCAATAAAAACATATCATTACGAGAAAAATTAGAAGCAAATTAATTGAAAATAAACCGAAATATTGATATTTTTCGAAATATGTTTCTCTTTCATTGTATAAAAACATATAAACTTGCAACTGGTATAGTCATATCCGAGTGTTACGCACCGAAGTACCCTCCCGGTCTTATTTCTGGTAAAACAATTTATCCTCCAATCAGTAGTTCAACTTGGTACAGCACTCAGGTACGATTTCTTTACCAACTGACAAAACCAAAGATTTAAATCATGCGAATGAAAAATCAAGTTTCCAATGACATTTTCAAGCTCAGTTTCGCCCCGTGCCATTTTCCCGCCAATGAACTCGAAGTCTCGTCTGTCAATAAAACTCCAACGATTCCTGCAACAGTGATTGTATTAAATGCATTGATATAATCTGCTTCTAAAATGCTTAAAAAGCAGGAAAACGACGAAAAAGATCGTCAAGGTTGGTGGTCCGGAACGACAAATTATAACTAAATATTTTTGTAATAATTTCCGAACTGACAGATTAGCACCAAGCAGTAGTGAATTCATATAGCATTTCATATCTTCAGTGACTTTTTATCAATTCTAGTTGAGTTACGGATCAACAATATTTTCTAAATTCATAATTGAAAATCTTAAAAGCATGGAATTCTGGTGCCAATTTATACAGTTGACTGATATTGAGTATTTCTAATTATTGAAATAAAAATATCAATACACAGAAATGTATATCAATTCCAGATAAATGGCCATTTATTTATTTTTCATACTTTATTATCAAAGTTTTAATGATATCATTTGCAATTTGGAAGAATGTTTAATCCCTTACGTTCAAATTAAATGTTTGTTTTTTTACTGTTTTGGAAAAAAAAAAATAAGAGAAATAAGATCTATAAACATAAAATATAGTAAAAAGCACCGACGAAAAGTAAATATATTTTTAACTATTTCGGTCGTTGATTTATAGATACTATATAATTCTGTAACAAAATTAGGAACGTCTTATCTTTTCTCGTTGTTGACTGTTGTTAAAGTCGCTTTGGTTCTCATGTAATGTAGTCTTTATTTTGGAAAAAACTGACACATTTTCCTTTGTTTAAACCTAGAGCGAAAAGTGTTGATGAGTATGAAGTGATTTTGCAGTTTGTCGTCTGCTTTTACACGCGGTTTCGAAGTTCTGTCGTTGTATTAGATGAGCAAACCACTCTGATCGAAATTCAATAGGAGAATTGAACAAATCAAGGCTGTACTCAAGAGTAGTTTAAATCTCTTTGTAGGTTAACAAATATCGGCACATTTCTAACACAAGAACTCCAAATTTCTGTGTTGTTTGTTTTAGAGATTAAAGACTTTTTATAAATACTCCAACTGAAAGATTTTGTCAGAAATATATTTATCTTCGTCACGTAAAAATATCTTGTTTCTTTATTTTGCTCTTCAAAAAATCAAATTCATAGTTTAAACCTCACACGTGTTTTGACTGAAATCTGAGTGTGTGTTCTATATATACTATATAAGATCAACGAGAGGCCCTATGCATATGTACAATGATGTTGATTTGATTGCAAGTATGTACAGAAACTTATATGTATATATACTACATATATGTCTCTGAGAATTGGTGGAAAGGAGAGAATGTTCCGGGGGAATACCTTCAATAATCAGTGTATTTTACTCTATTTTATTTTATTTTTTTTTTTATTATGTGAACTCCCCTTTTCAAATGGCGGGATCCGCGCCTGTTGAGTGTGATAAAAAATAACCTATAGGTGACTACAGGAACTGAACATTTTTGAGATACCTATATTATGAATATAACAAGCATTCTGAGAGTATTGCATGGCAATACATAGTCCCCTACCGGTTAAAAATTCATTGTACTGGAACAAAATGTTAACTTGTCATGGTGTAAACTATATAACAAATATCAAGTCAATATCTTCAAGCATGACGAAAAAAAGTGTGGAAAACTGATTATTTAAGTGAATTTTCGAAGTCCAGACAGACAGACATGCAGACGGACGGAGTGCAAACTTAAAGTCCACTTCGACTTCGTCGGTAGGGGACTCAAAAGAGATGTCTAAAGCTTTATTTATGTATTTGCAACATGCATGAGTACATGGACAATGTGGTAACTTTATTTGGTTTATTTTCAACGCGATTGCAGAGACAATATTCGTTTTAGTAACGACATTTATTGTTCTCGTTTCATTTTCATATATTATCTTTACTTTGCGCTTTTCGTTATTTCTGGTTACTCTTTAGTTTGATGGACTTAATTAAATTATTCAAAGTACCCTTCTCAGAATCTAGATTTGGATTTTGCTGTTGAAACTGCGCATGCTCGGTTTGGCCTCAAACGTTACTTGCCACGTACTTTCGATTTATGAGTTTGAATGTCCCTTTGGTATCTTTCGCTTCCCCTTTGCCATCTTGTGTCAGATATGCATATAGCAGCCCACATGCGCTATAGGTCCTTCAACAGGGAGTTCATCCAGACTTAAAGAATTCAGTGATGGAAGTATTCGTCTTTACATTCACAGACAATCAAGTTGACTGCATGTTGCTTTGCTATAGGCCTCCGGATGTCTCCAGTTAGGATCGCAATACATTTAGTAACATTAATGTGTTAGAGAAAATTTCTCAGAAAGTAAGATGTATATTTATATACAAGTCTAAATTGAAAACAACGTTCAAACCTATGATTGCGTTGGATAAAAACCGCAATTTTTATACGTGTGCATGAAAAACAAATTTCTTGGTAGAGGGGTCTAAATACAGCACAAACAACTTTTTTCCAAAAGACCAAAAATAAAGGTGAAAAAGTATATTATATTTCACCGCTTTCTTACACTTTTATGTCGGCAACGGTACTTCGGAGCAGATTCCATTCAGAAACATCATAAACAGTGTAGTAATAAACAATTTTGTACAATGCCCAACGTTAGTTAAAGAACAATATTGGTGCAGAAAAAAATTAAAGAAACACTTTTGTCTTGTTTCAGATAATAAATTAGCGAACAGGTGTAAGTCCAAAGAATTACCAAGAAATGCAATAAAAGCACAACGAACTTTAACCTTGATCAGTCAAACAGAAAGATTTGCTAGCCAATTCCTACATTTGTTTGCTTTATGGATAACCGTTAATGCTGGGTATGGCATATCAATTGGGTCCATTGAAAAACATTATATTTATTGAAAATAATGCACTATTATACCCCAATGGTTTGAGATTAACTTTCTATATAAACTTAGACATGTCTGAGTTTTCTCTATATTTATGTTTAAAAGAGAAATCATGCATCTGTCTCTTATTTCATATACAGAGTTGATCTTTAATTTCGTTTGGAAATTTTAGAAATCACAACCCCTGGGTTATGCATACAAAAGAACAAACAGGGGTAGAACCCATGCGTTAAAACCTGGTTCTATAGAAAAAGAAAGTTCCTTTTCATTAACTTATTCTCAATGCTCGGTAGTTATTTACCTTTAAAGTGCACTCTTGTTCCTATAAATATTAAAATATGATACTACATGATGAATTTAATCAAATATTTACACGGATTGAAAAGGGGAAATCAGACCACCAAGATTCTTAAAGCAAGGTTAAATAAACGAGAGAGTTGAGAATGACGCTAGAAAATTACTGTATTGTATGGACGATAAATACCTAGCCATGCGGGGCATATAAAATTATTAGGTATGAATACAGATTACCAATGTTACACAAAAGATACCCGCCGACATCCGAGTCGCTAAGTAGTGAATAAAAAAGAACATTTTCCGTTACAAATTGATTTGGCTAATCGATATTGTTTCCATTGACATACCCGCATATTTCAATTTAGTTTTAGGCATGTACACTTAGTACACAAGCTGACACTGGTTTCATTTTGGGGGAAATATTATTGGGTTTCTTTGTTTACTGAGAAAAAATCTTCAACAATATTTTAATAATTTTATATTTTTATGAATTAGCTTTTTGGGGTTCAAGATTCAATATTATTTATTTCTTATAAAACCAATTTATAATGGTACAAAGAAAGATGTTTTTACATATGATAACATACAAATTCATGCTTGCTTTTATTTTCATATCAATTAAAAATAAGTTTCAAACTTGCCAACAGATGAAGAAAAAAAACGATAATTAATTGTTTTCCAGAAGGGCATAATCTGCAAAATCACAATACTAATAATATATGGGCAAATAAAATAATCTTGTTCCAAAATCGAAGTACGAAATATAAAACTATAGCATGTATACATAATAATAAGCATGTATACATAATAATAAGAAGAAATATTAGTACAATTGATATATTTAAATTTTCAAAGAATCATGACCGTCTGTATGATGAACTCACAATTTTGAAAATTTCAGTTTTACTTTAAAAGTCTTCTGACATGATTACTTTTCGACATACAAGATCAGTAAATATTTAAATAATTTATAAAAGCCTAACTTGAAACAAGTAAAATCAAATGTTTCATGTTTATTTTATTAATTCAAGAACACCCTTTGGCATTTTGTAAAATTGAAACAAATATTTAAATAAGTAAATGGAAAAAGAAATCTCGGATGGAACCAAATTTCCGGGTAAATACTCGTATCCTTTCATATACAAGGTTAATGTTCAACCGGAGACTTGATATTTAAAATTAAGATTTCTAAATAGTTTTATTGAAATCGTAAGATAAAGTGACAACATTTTCTATTAACTTAACAAATTATTTATAACCTTTCATTAGATGATAATTCGTTATATTTTGTGATTCATGAGCAGTTGTTTGTAAAACGTGCTTTTTGCAATGTATACAAATTGTCAAGTAAATACTCTACAAATTCACATCTCGTGGTAAAATACAGAAAATGAGAATAGTTTCCATATGTGTTAATGAATTTTTAATGATTTTTTTTTCTTATGAACGTATTAAGAAGCATACTATGAACTGACGAATGACCCTCTTTAGACAAATAAAATATAGTGTTCCTGATCCGACTATTCAGACTGTTAAACTGGACCTTACTGACCCACGATGTAAGATGAAAGTTCTTACACAGAGGAAATAAACATTTTATATATGACTTGATACACCCTTAGGTTATAAAAGGTTATAAAAGGCAGGAGCAGATTCCGACGGGCGCAATCGCCCCCCCCCCTAATAAAATTTTATTTATAGGTAAAATTACAGCCGAGTTTTAGTCAAAATATGGTCATGTTACTCCTTATTCTGAGGACCCTCAACAACAAATCCTGGATCAACCCCTGAAAGGTGCCATCTAAAAATAATTAATATTCCATACCCCTTAAATTTCAACAATAGAACAACATGATTAAGTCAGATTAATAACGACATATCTATTTATATATGTTAATTCCATTTTTAAAAGGAAAGTCAATGCTCACCTGTAGTAATCATCCTTACAAAATATGTTCCCTCCTCTTGCAAAGCAGGTGAGCTCAGAATCTAGCTGTATTTTACAGTCTGAGCACTTTAAACACGATACATGCCATTGTTTATCTACAGCCAGTAAGTAATACCTATCGAGTATCCGTATTCCACAACCAGCACAAAAACTTTGACTTTCAAACTTATTAAGGACTGGCATAGTCTGCAATAAAAATGTACATAATAAACACCAATACTATATTGATCATAGAAAGACAAATAAATGGAAAGAATAACCCATATTAGTTTATGATATATATATAATATGTATCTTAATGAAAATAGTTTGGTTTAGCGATGTGTTAAGTTTTTATTAACCATAGCTTACTAAATTCATATTTAATTCAAATATCTTGGTTTAGCAATGAAATATCAAAAGTGTGCTTATGTTTTGCGCAGCTATATATAAATGACTGAACAAAGCCTGCCCACACGAAATCAATTATATATATATATATCTAAACAAAAAATAGTTTCGAGAAATAATATAATGTACATATTGTTTATTGTCTTTTTTGAATAAGCATGTGATTGTTTGTAGCTATTAAACTGGTCTTCTTTCTGTCTGCATTAATAGAGAAATTTCTAAATACTTTGGCAAAAAAGTTCAGAGATAATTTGTAAATAGAAAAAAAAAGATATTCAAGACATTGCTCCACAGAGAAAAAGGATCTTTGGAAAAAATCTTTGACATTCCCTGAAGACATTTTTTTTTTTCTGTCAAACGATTTGCTTAATTAAGCTTTCTGACATTTTCAGTACGGGTACCATCGGCGTGACAAATTCTCGAGATTGTCAACTCTATAAAAATCGTTTGTACAATTGAACCAAGATTTATTTTTATTATTTAGAACGTATGCTTAAAGCAATTAACCAAAAGTACTTGGTAATTAAAATAGCTGTGGTATGTTATTATTGACACGTGACCCATCTTTACTTAATTTTCAAGTAAATAATCGGATACTACCGGCATTCGGTCGAATCAAACGCATCTGCTTACTATCAAATTAAAATGTTATTGTAGTCGCATGAATGTGACCAGTGTAATTAAAAAATTGGTTTGAAGACATGCAATCATAAAAATTGAATACATTTTGTTACGCCCATTACGTTTGCTAAAACGCCAGTCTGATTTATGTTTTATTTGTGTCCCAGAGTTTCATGTTAAACTTGCATCTCCGTGTAAATTTCACCAAAAATAAATTGTAGGTACCATTGGTATCCACCTGGAAGTACTATATCGTCGGGGATAGTACTTCCATGATGTATAAATATGTATAACTCTCATTGAAAAAAATCTGTACATATATGCTTCATCTACGTTCAATAACTAGAATTTTTAAAAACATGTCAAATTTTACATAAATAGATTCACAACTGAAGATTTGAGAACAACATAAATGTTATCTGCAATCTGCTCCCCTTAATTTCAGGCGTCACTTTCGATCGGTTTCTGACACAATCACCAACTTTCGATAAGCATCTTACACGAGTGATAAATGCCGATGTATTTCGATGGTGACACTTTCCTGATAAGCAAAAACACCCAGGATACAGAGAACTATTTTAAATGCAAAATTCTTTCCGTGAAAGCAACATAAAAAATAAACATGCATAAAACTGTTCTGGGTTTTATCAGGCTACTTAGCAATGGATTTTATGTAAAAGAATGTGTCAGGATTAATTTTGTAACAGACTCTCCGAACATCTGTTTTTAAAAATGCACATTTAAAGATTAAAACAAAACAGAATATAATATCTGAAAAATTAAAAAATAAAATAAAAATCATATTATATAATTATACAATAAAGCTGGGATTTCCCGATTTTGTTTCTATAAGATGAATTTTATTTCCAATAGAGGACCCATTATAGGCATAATCAGTACATTGATTTTTTTATCAACACAATTGCAATAGACAATACACAAGAAAATAAAAAAATAGAAATACAATTGAATATATAATTGAAAGTTATTTTTACTTGACATAAGTATGTAAGGACAAACCAACATAGTTGCACTGTTTCTTCAGTGTATGCATTGTTAAAGTAGTTTAGATTAATAAGCATATTTAACTTTCTAAAAAAGTGATGATACACAAGTTAATCAAACTGATGAAGTCTTCTCCCGTAAACAATTTGCAGCAAAAAAATATTTATATAGTATGCATGCATACATTACAATGCAATGCAATATGTTTGATTTGATTTTTAGAAAATATGAATATATAATATATAGAAGTCTATGAAAACGACCAACCAATAAAATGTAATAGGTATTTATATTGGATTAAGATATGTAAAAATGATGATGTGTGATGATATGAAAAAAGTAGTCTGAACAGGTGGGCAAGATCCACTAAGAAGTTTATCATATTACCTTTTTTAATAATTCATAAAAAGTTTTTTTTTCAAAACTTCAACTGAATTTATTTATTTAGTGATTCTCAAAAAAATTGAACAAAATGGACAGGGTAAATAAAATAAATATATATATGTCTATAAAAGCGATCAACCAGCAAATTTAATAAGCATCGGATCGTCTAGATACTTCACAGGAAAAACAGCAAAATGTAATATACATGTACATGCAAAGTGTTCTATGTAAGCCTTATTTCAATGTCAGTTTAGTTCGAATGAAAAAAAAACTTTTAATTTCGTTTTTGTATTTACTAAAATTATCCCTTAAATATTGAGATACAATGTAAAGGGAAATATTGAATAGATCACCGCTTTGAAGTTTCTCTTTATTTCATATTAACAGTTGACAGAAAAGGGTGAGGAAATGTTACAACTTATTAATATCAGGAAATCCACTTTATTACCGGTTAATTTGCGGTTAGATTAATCTCATTTGCACCAATTATTAGCGAGTTTATAAAACACGAAACATGCCGCCAGATTATCACAGTCACACATTTATTCCTCAATTTTAAAACCATCTTGTAATTCAATTTGTAACAATTCTGTCTACTTTTCGTCTGTAATTTGTATAATTGAATTCTCATAAAACAACTAATAAATTATGGCAGTCGTTAATTTTTAAAGCAGACTCTTATTAAAAGCACGAAGATTGTAATGGTTATATTATCTATTGCACGTAAACAGTTGACAACTTTTAATTTATCAAATAACAATAATTTAAAACGTATTTTCCATAAAATTCATATTCTAGCATTGAAATAAATATGGTTAATAAGTTTTCTCTTTAAATCAATCATTCAAATTTTGGATTTAACAAAATGAAGGATTAAATTTAAAAAAAAATATCAACATCATTATAATATTAATGATACGTGTAGTAATAATAATATCAATACCATTGTAGTAAACACAGCCGTTTTTTTAGAAGAAATAATGGTTTAACTTTGAAAATTGTTAAAACATTTTTTTTTTTAAATAGTGGCGACGAATTTTCAACAAAAAGTCTTCGACACTTAAAATACAGTCTAGAGCCGCGTTGGCTAATTTCGTATTTTTTAAAAGGCAATTTCGTCATATTCCATGATTGCTACATGTACATTTATTTTTACATCCTCGCAATAACTTTTGCGTCTGATTGTAATGTTAGCATATACACTTATTGCATTCTATCCTTTTTATTCAGAAATACGCATAAGGACAAGCATGTTAAATAAATATTGTTTTTAAAATATTGAAATTCTAAGAGGTATGTTTGCTTATATTTTTACAAACTCGACCTCTTTGCATATTGAACAAATTGCATTTCAATAGAATAATAATGAAAATAAAAGACTTACCCTGCTTCCAGCATGATGATCAAAGTGTGAATCAGTGCCATAGTAGTGAGAGGTCTCAAATCCCCCCTCAGACAGGGAGAGGTTAGATTTCTCTACCATGCCCTCTTCTTTCATGTATACATTCACTGAAATCGGTCACTTTTCACTGGTTGAATATAACCTTAGTGTCTTAGTGCATGTCCACGCGTGAAAATAACATAAATGTCGTCTTTAAAAAAAACTTTTCTCTTCTTAAAAGATTTTTGTTTTGTAAAAGATTTTCAAACACCTTTAAATATTAATATTTACTTAAGTTTTGTTATGACAAAAAATTTAAATCTGCAAAGTAAAACTGTCCTAATGCGATAGTCTAACGTTCTGTTTGTTCTCAGATTGTAGCACTATTACGCCTCAAGCGGAATTTCTCTGATAATAAAATAGGCGGAGTCTGATTTAAGAATGTAGATTTCAACACTTGTAACAGATATTTGGCTGACAGCTTGAGAATAATCCGACTTCATCGTGTTTTCATTGGACGAACAATCAATCATTTTTCTAAATCAAGGAGGAGCATGTATTTATAATTATACTTTCGGAATACACATTTTTGTAGAATTTTAAAATATCCATAATTTTAATACAATTTACGTGTATTTTTTTAAGATATGATTTAATACCGACACACTACACGTAATCCAGATTCGAAAATATTATCTCTTTATGGAAACAGCGGGTTTAAAACACTGGCTATTGAATTAATTGTGAGATATTCTTTCTGAACGGCTTGACATTTCGTCCATCACATAATAAGAAAAGTTAAGCCTAAAATCGTCTTTAATTTATGATCCTTAAATTTTTTATGTTTTTATCAGCCGTGAAAAATACATTCTTTGTTTGATTCATAACGTTTTTACCAGTTTTTCTAAACAGACAAAAAAGAAATATTGTGAAAAGAAAGTTGAATTTCAATAAATATTTTGGAATCAAATTCTTTTTTGGGAATGTGTTTTAAAAGTTTTCACTGCAGGATTGCATCACAATCTAAAAGACGCTTGTGTGTTGTGTAAGAAGAGAGACACAATGTTATATCGTACTAGTATGCTTATTTTGTTATTGTGTAAGCATATGAAGACCATATGCTACACAATATGTGTACATGTTTAATATGTGTCCCATGTGTATACAGACGTATCTTTGTTTGTAAATATTGACAAAAATCAACAACTATATATAACAATCATAAGGGGGGAAAAACTTGAAAAGATGTGATAGCCCATGTTTCTATATAAACTGACATGAAGCGCCGAGAATTTGCTATAAGGGCTAATTTTTCAATGGATAAAAATGCATATGTAATATTTTTCTTTGCTTTTGCATATATCCACTCAGGGTATAGCTTACTCCTGTAAAACAATCAGTTATCTTGTTTTTGCAATAAGCTCTGTTGCAAACCACGAAAAACTCTATTCACAGACAAAAATCAAACGTTTTCATTGATCAAGATATCATTTGATTTAAAGATTTAAATTGTTTGGAAAACACAATTCACCAAAAGTGTAATTTCTTGGACAAGATAACTTGCTAGTAAAAACAGAGACAGACTGAAGTGAATACAAGTTGGAATATACATGTACATATTATATCATGCACATAACTGTTACGAAAAGATTTGATTTAGCATATGTAATAACCACAACCCTATCGTCATATTATGGACTGGGGCAAACAACCAGTTACATATATGCTTGTTGAAGTATATAGTACAATTGCAATAGCTGACTTCTATTTTACTTATGTTACGGATGTTGTTACAAGCGGGGTACACGGGAAATGGAATATAATTTTGCTGTAGTGTATATTACTTTTTAGTAAAAGTTCCATACATAAAGGGAGTTAGAATCATTCAGACTAAAATTCCTCGTTGTGTCTATAATTGTAAAACTTTTATGTAAATTTCCGAATCTCACCATGACCAGACTGGCATTCACTCAAGAAAGTGCTCATCAAGTGTTCCATGTAATATATAGCTGTAGTAAATTTATATATAAAAAAAGCTCTTTGGAAAAAATGTAGGGCGGGTTTATATTATCTTTAGTAGTGCTATTATACAAAATGATAGAAGTAGGAAACACTGGCAAGTCAACCGTGTTCTCGATTAGCACTTTCCATGTTGATCCATGACATCCTTCTCAGCATAAAAATACTCCCTGGTCTATAAAGAATGATATCAACAGAAAGAAAAGGGTATTGTGTACGTACAAATAATAGTGTGTGGTCCGCCATTGTTCTGTGTCTTGATTGTTTTCTTGGTTTATAAACAAACGTCATGTCTTATGGTTTTGTTTGCTTGTTCTAACGACACCCTTCATTGTACCAAAAGACATATTTTTGTTTTGTTCAAGAACAGACACACAAAATATTTACATGATCGCAGGAAAAAAATATACTTCTGCTGCATTGCATAAATGCTCGTGTGGCACGTGTGAGGTAATTTTTCGTGTTGGAACAAGACTTGCAATATTTAATCAAACTTTTGGATATATTCTCCATGTTTATATATCATTGACTCTCAACATCAACAAACATCAATCATGTACTTGTTCGCACTATTGTAATACTGTTAGTATTTGGATACATCTGAGGTTAATCACGTGATATGGATCCAAATTAGATACAGAGATTTGATATGATTGACAGCTTCCAAAATGCCGAGAAAACAGAACTAGGTACTCGCTGTACAGCTATCTGACTGGTCATCTGAATAAATAAAGTATTACAAATAATAATAATAAATGAAATAAAAGCATAGCTAGGCAAGAGTCTCCTTGTGTCGTTTTGATGCCATTCACCCTGGGCATACTAAGTACTATGTCGTTTCCGTGAAAAATGTATCTATATTAGTCATTCTGGTAAACACATTTCAAGTGCATATCGATGAAACATGCGTGTTTTTAACAATTAAAGCTCTACAAAACAAAAAAAAGTATACACAAACTGAGTCTACAACACAAAAAGTAAGTAAAAGAATCAATAAATTAATAAATATTATACAATAATCACTGAATATCTCGTAAAAAATAGCCTCTTCAGCAAAATATGAATAAATAAATATACAGTAGCACGCAATGTAAATATGGCGAACAATTGTTAGAAATCCTGAACACCATACAAACAGATTATCGGTCTTTTCATGTTTCTGTAATCCTGAAAGTCATACAACTTTAATAAGATTAAAATGTAGGCAAAATATCTTTATGTTTGTACATTTTTCGTCTTAGTCCTGATTCTAATTTTATTATATTTAGATACTTTCATCGTTTGAATTAAGTTTTGGATTTCAAATATTTTGGCCTTGGGCACCACTGAAGAGACATTGATGTCAAAATGCGCATCTGGTGCAGTAAAATTAGTACCGTTATCATTATTGTAGCGCATTTGTTATATAGAATTTTTATTGATACTTGAAATTAGTCATCTGATGACTTTATAACAAATGGTCTTTTCAGATCATAAGATGAGAGGACACAATGGTCAATAAATTCCAACTTTGACATAATGATACTACTATAGAACGGTTCAAGATATTATGGAATGTACATAAAATAGATGATTCGTATACCCCCCGTTTCAATGTTCTAAACAGAATTGTTTTGATCTTCAACATGGATTCAACTGTGAATAATGGGGTAGTAATGTAATAGATCGGGATCCTTCTCAGTATAAAAATAAGGAGACCGCCTAAAATTTGAAAGCGTTGAGACAATGTCGACGCTCCTGCTCCACCATACAAGCATTCCTTTATCTACGTAACTGCAGGTTGATTGGTGAATAACATGTTGGTTTGCTGTTCTGTTGTCATAAACACATACACATGTCGCTCAAACTTTCATATCAAATGAAACCATATAACTTCTGTGTTAGTGTGGTACATTACTTACAACATGTGGAGACTGCTTATAAATCCATAGTGATTTCGAAAGTGTTCCAAACTGTATGATAACTTTACTCTGACGTCAAAGTCACAGACAACAAGTTTTTATTCTTGGTTTATATTATGTTCATTTGTATAAATTCATGGCGGTAAGTTTAGTTTGGGAAAAGGGAGAGGGTGAGGGCGGTGGCTTATTATCCGTGGTAAGTTATCTCCTTCGGGAATACCTGTGAGACTCGAACATATATTTACCAAACTGGTACCCTAAATTTATTGCTGAACCAAATACCTAGGCTACCGGGTCATAAAATCATCCCAAAAATACTTATGTTTGCAACATATTCAAATCTGTATGAATGATGACTGGTTAGATTGCCTGCAGATTTGATCAGTGTCATAAGTATAACTTAAACGTTTTCAAAGATGAATCAGATATGAAAATTACGTTATTATGTTGCAAAACTTTTTGTCTGGTCCATTTTTTGTATATTGTATAATATGTATTCAGGTATCCCTGATTTTTTTTCTATCATGGAATAATATACCTTGAATGATAATTTCTATTTTTTACCTCCGAACTTCTCACCTGTTATTTTTCATCTATACTGATCAAAGATTAGAATATTGTTTTAAAAGAATATCCAATATTTTTATAAAAGGCATTTGGAAGCTATAATTTCTACAGCGTTCTCATTTTACACCCAAAATATATAGGTTGACCTAAGAATATAGAGAACACTTGCAATAACAAAAGAACTTGTTAGTAATATTTTCACGCATGTGTTTGTATTTTGAAGCCTGTAATTTATTAAAGACACTAAAATTAAACATTAGAAAAGTAACAGTTATTTACACGTGTAAGCACAACGCAGAAACTGCAGTCAGATTGTACGGGTACTATTAAACGTATATTGATTGAAAGCAGCATCCGAGTGATATATTGTATAAACTTTATTGAAAATCACCAATATTCTTAATTGTAACTGGCTTACAAAATACATAAACAAATGGAAACATGTATATACATTATACAGTACTATTCATGTATTCAAAAATGTTCAAGGACATAATGCCCTCAGTGTTTGTGACTTTTTTTTTTATTTGAAAGCATACTGAATTTGTTCGGGATAAAGAATTAAAAAAATATATGTACATAATCAATCTTTATTGCAAAATTACACCCATAAGGGTCAAGCAATACAAACAAACAATTATACATTTTAAATACAATGCAATACAATGTAATACAATACAATATAATAGAACATATTTTAAGAGTTCAATTATAAATTTATGTAAAAAACACAATCATAAGCTTGTCTGACATGGGTCTGACCCCCTCAGTTCTAAAGACTGTTTAATAAAGACTCCAATATGACAAACAAGTTCAGGGATGGGGTTTAGAATGTGTTTTAGTTTATTAAATGCATCAAGATGTTGAAATAATGGTACATAGTCTTTTAGATAAGCAAAAAAATTAGAACGC